TTGTGGGACACTCTCGTAGGACACTCTTGTGAGACACTCTTGTAGGACACTCTTGTGGGACACTCTTGTGAGACACTCTTGTGGGACACTCTTGTGGGACACTGTTATAGGACACTCTTGTAGGAAACTCTTGTGGGACACTCTTGTAAGACACTCTTGTGGGGCACTCTTATAGGACACTCTTGTGGGTCACTCTTGTAGGAAACTCTTGTGGGACACTCTTGTAGGACACTCTTGTGGGACACTCGTATAGGCCACTGTTGTGGAAAACTCTTGTGGGACACTCTTGTAGGACACTCTTGTGGGTCACTCTTGTAGGAAACTCTTGCGGGGCACTGTTTTGGGACACTCTTGTAGGACACTCTTCTGGGACACTCTTGTGGGACACTCTTGTAGGACACTCTTGTAGGAAACTCTTGCGGGGGACTGCCTTGGGACACTCTTGTAGGACACTCTTGCGGGACACTCTTGTAGGACACTCTTGTGGGACACTCTTGTAGGACACTCTTGTGGGCCACTCTTATGGGGCACTCTTGCGGGACACTCTTGTAGGACACTCTTGTGGGTCACTCTTACACGACACTCTTGTAGGACACTCTTTGTGGGACACTCTCAAAAGCACTCTTGTGGGTCACTCTTATGGGACACTCTTGTCGGACATTCTTGTGGGAGAGTCTTGTGACACACTCTTGTAGGACACTCTTGTGGGTCAGTCTTACAGGACACTGTTGTGGGACACTCTTGTAGGACACTCTTGTAGGACACTCTTGTGGGACACTCTTGTGGGACACTCTTGTGTGACACTCTTGTAGGAAACTCTTGTGGGACACTCTTGTAGGACACTCTTGTGGGGCACTCTTATAGGACACTCTTGTGGGACACTCTTAAGGGACACTCTTGTGAGACACTCTTGTGGGACACGGTTGCGGGACACTCTTGTGGAACACTCTTGTGGGACACTCTTGTGGGACACTCGTGTCGCGACACGGTCCGCCCACACACTAGAAGCAGTCACGCGAGCGTTTCGTACGAGACTTCCTCCAAAAGTCACGCTTCGAGGCTGCAAGACGAGCGTTTCGTACGAGACTTCCTCCTAAAGTCACGCGTCAAGTCTCCAAAACGGAGCGTTTCGTACGAGACCTCCTCCAAAAGTCACACGTCAAGTCTCCAAAACGAGCGTTTCGTACGAGACTTCCTCCAAAAGTCACGTGTCAACTCTCCAAAACGAGCGTTTCGTACGAGACTTCCTCAAAAACTCACGCGTCAAAGTCTCCAAAACGAGCGTTTCGTACGAGACTTCCTCCAAAAGTCAAGCGGAAACACCCATCGGAGCACACACATCACGCAGCCCTGCCAAGCAGTTTCGCGATTCCAGCCCCTCCAAACAACACCCGCTCACACGCCAATCCCAATGAGACAACGACAGTCACCTCTACCACAACTCACAACCTTACGATTCTCTGCGCCTGCCACGCATCTTTCCGCGTCCACACGTCTAACGCGCACAAAGTACTGCGCCTGCCACGCAATGTCACCTCCGTCACACCTCGCAACCTCACGATTCCCTGCGCCTGCCACGAGAATCACACTTCCATGCCTCAAAACCCGCACAAAGTACTGCGCCTGCCACGAAAAGTGACAATATCATCTCATGTGAGCTTCAACAAAATTTGCACCACACCACACGTTTGGAATGATTTCGATCCGTTCTGAGCACACTCCCATCCACCAAAATCGCCATTTCAGCTGAGACTTGTCACGAAAACAGAGCTTCGATGCCACACCCTGAAACGCAAATCCCAATGGCACGGCCACATCCAACACCCCAAAAACACGACTCTCCAAACGCTAATCCCAATGGAACTGCGTAGCGAACTGAGGATCTCACAAAACGCTGCGCCTGTGCAGCGAAATGCGTCACGCTTCTTGCGCGGCATGTCATTTTCATGCAAATCACAATGGAATAGCGTCGCAAACTGACACGTGACACATCCATGAAAAGTCACTTGCAAAAGCGTCCCCCAATGGCAGCGCCTTAGCGTCCTACTGCGAACGGTTGCGAACGGTTGCGAACGGTTGCGAACGGTTGCGACCGGTTGCGAACGGTTGCGGACGGTTGCGGACGGTTGCGGACGGTTGCGGACGGTTGCGAACATAGAAGCAACGGATCGCGAACAAGACTCTACCCCCAGACCCCCAGAGTTAAACGAGAACCCTTCGCTACGCATTCGGGAAAAAGATCAAAAACTAGACGACAGGGTGGCCCGAAAGCAAGTAGGCGGAAGAGAACAAATAGAAGGGAAGAAAAGCGAAGTAACAGAAGATGAATGAGCACTAAAGAAATGAAGAGATGATATATGATGATTCAAAACATTAAGATGAAACAAAATGAGATGATGATGAGATGACACAATATATAATATATATATATATATCTATATATATATATACATTATGATTATGATACTATTATCACGTTATTACCAAATCTATTAATGTATATTCTGTTGCACTGTACTTCGGAGCCCAAACGGTAGTCCCGGTCGATTCTTTTTTATCCAGCGCCGGTCGAGCTCAAACGCTAGTCCCGGTAGTAAGAGCCGCCGAAGTGTGCGAAATCGCACGTCCCAACCTGGCATCAGGACAACCAATGCTCATACAAATGCAACACTTGAAAAACAAAACAAATTACCCACAGTTCAACTCATGTTGTTTTGTCGGTTATCAGATATAGTTGCACACCCAGTCGGAACAGGATCGACTTCGAACAACTCTCGGTCGTGGATCTCGTGCCTTGTGGAGTCTCTGCACGTTCAGCTGGAACAAGGGTCGACTTCGGACAACTTCCGGTCGTGGACCCAGGTCCTTCTAATCAGTTTGGTCACGACACTTTGCAATAGCCAATTCACAGCTTTTCGCCGATACTTGTAACTTCGTGGCTGGTGACTATATGTGGCATCGACATGCCGGCCTCCTGGAATTCCATTGCGTGGTGTCCACTTTCATTTGGTCCCACTTGTTGCCGCTCAACCTGTTCAAAAGACTCAATGTCTCTGGAAACGAAACTGGTCTTTCAGGTCAAATCACAACAAGCAAAGAATATCATTCAAGTCCAACAATCGAACAAAAAAAAGATGTCTATAGAGCTCTGTTTGCACAATTTTATCGGTTATCAGGTATATTCGCGCACCCAGTCGGAACAGGATCGACTTCGAACAACTCTCGGTCGTGGATCCCGTTCCTCATGGGGTCTCTGCACATTCAGTCGGAACAAGGGCCGACTTCGAACAACTTCCGGTCGTGGAC